AGATGAAAGCATGTCCGGACATGTAAAAGCAAACGGGAATCGAGAATATTCACCAATGATACACAAAATATACCGGTTCCGGGAGGTCGAACGTAAGGGTCCTTTGAAATCGATGCTTAGTCTTTCAAATGACTGTGTAGCTTTGATTAGATTGCAGGGAGGTAGCTTGAAAAAGCGAGGTTTTAGCTCGACGCAGATAGTGCACTTAGCGATCGTGCTCTTGATTTCTTCGACTGAATACGGGAGATTGCGTGTGCGTACAAAATGCACCATTCGCGTTATTCCGGGGTGACATAATGAATCGTGCAGGTCTCGCAGTTTTGTGTTGTTAAAATTGGAAGCACAAGTACTGCGGGACAGCATATCAGTGACCTGATTATCTTTTCCGAGTCTGCAAATTATATCGTAGTGAAAGGCAGATAATTAAAGTCGCCCCCTCTGGATTTTATCGTTTTTTATTTTAGTTGTCTGTCGTCGGTCATACATGAAGGCTACGGAACGTTGATCGGTGATGAGTTTGAAGTGGGTGCCAAGAAGATAGTGCCTCCATTTGCGTGGGGCTTCCACGATCGCGCACGCTTCCTTCTCTATTGCAGATTGGTGTTTTTTGCTAGGAGTCAGAGTGCGTGAGAAAAAGGCTACCGGTCGGTTATTCTGATTAAGTGAGGCGGCTATTGCGATATTTGATGCGTCCGCCTCAACAACCAGTGGAAGATTGTAGTCTACGGCGACAATCATAGCGTTCTCCAAATGGGACTTTAGGTTCTCGAATGTGTGTTTAACAGTCGGCGGTAATGGGGATGTTTTATTTTTAATTAGAGGATGAATTTTGTCTGAAAAGTGGGATATCCAGTGCGGATAGTAGGCAAACATACCGATGATTGGTCGAAGGGATTTTGCATCCGTCGGAGGCGGCATATCGCGTAACGGTTTCATTCGGTCGGGGTCCGGGGCCCAGGGATATGCGGTAGCCTAGAAGATCGATTTCTTTAGCGGACGTGACTGTTTTATCAGTGTTTAGTGTTATGTCGCACTTAGCGGCGGTCTTCAGAAATCGTTCAAGATTCCGGTAGTAGTCTTCAATAGTCATACCACACACGGTGACTATGTCGATGTACGCGAAAGTCACATGGAAGACCGAGTGTTCTTACGAATTGTTTTTGGGAGCATAGGGGGGATTATGTAGGTGGATTCCGGTCGCTTCCGCAATGGCCAAAATGCGACTCTTAATCCTCTCAGATCGGCCGGTGCGGACCAAGTAGAGGGGTCGAAACGCCTCGGCCCTATTAATTCCGTGGTTTGATTCCACTAGGTGTGAAACGATTGAGCTGTTAATGGTCCCAATTACTCCACTGTTCAAGCCAGGCCGGGTGGTGCTCACGGACTCGCTCAGATAAACGTCTGCTCGTGCGGCCAATGTACCTTGCCCCACAGGAACAGGTAAATAGGTATACACAGAAAGAGACGGCAGAAACAAGCAATGGACTTCGGGCTATGGACTTACTTCAATGCAACACGATATCGTTCCGGCATCTTTTCTATTTCACCCATAACGCAGTCGGTCACGTAAAGAAAACCTAAGAATTAACCAATAAATCAGAGTATTCGGTTGGCACAGAGACATACACTTTGCAAGTAAACAATCCATGATAGAACGAAACAGGTCCAGTCGATTTTTGATTGAAAAATTCACATAGTTTGTGTCCAGAAGAATGTGATATGGTGGACCAAGAGCCTCGTTATAAGAATCCTTGAGACGCGGGAATACTTCCAAATTGTGTCGAATGTTGACATGATGCGATGTGTTTTCTTTGAATGGGTTGATAATTTTTTTATGTTGATCTTTTTTCTTACTGGAACACATTGTTGTCAAACACGTAAAGCGCTAAACCACTTACATTCGAGAATCGGTGAGCGAAATCATTCGTTTCATTGATGCGAACTTCCGCGTTTTCCGAGTTTTCCCCATGGTATTGGCTAAAAGCATGACGACAAATGAAAGATAATAGATTACCCTTCTCTAATTTTTTTTTTCCAACGATACAAACACTCGTCTAAGGTGACTCCATCAGACTAATGGAACTCGCGTGAGATCTTACGACTTTTGACCCTCTTCCATATCACGTGCACACACAAAGAACGCCTCCGCTTGCCTCGTGAAAATTTCCGTTTTCCCCTGCTCAAGAATTGTTAGAAACTGCCCCATAAAAGCGCAATGAGTTGTTTTTGTTAACTAACCCCAAGTGAAAGTCACTCAAGTCCACTACTAACACAGCCATCAAAGCTGGCGTGATGAGCCTCTCGAGTCACTGATTCGCACTGCTTCCCATTGTAGCGAATAAGCCAACAGTGCAATTAGATAATAGACCAACAATTCCTTGACCACCTAATTTCCTTTGCGTGACCTTTTCTATAGCACACACTTGTGCGATGAACAGCATATGGGATGAACCTCATAGTCACGGAGACCTGCTGTTCGGTGACGGAAACCGATAATATATGGCCCGGGACTTGGAGTAGTGACCTACATAAGGCCCCGCTGTGTCAGTACGGGTTTGTGTATGAAGCTTGTATGGACTGGATACCTGACATGGTTTACTCTCTCTCCCTCTCTCTCGCTTTCCGGGGCAGGGTACTGTCTGAAACAGGGATTAAGCATAGTATTACTTGGCGACCATGGATTTTTAGCTCACTCCTATGACCGATCAGCCTGTTCTTGTTAGGTAATCAACAGGACTGCGTCGTTCTTCATCACTGGTTCTCATACTATCCATTGAAAAGGGGAATTATTATTCATCACCTGTTAATCCTTCTCTATGTATTTGCATCTCTATAAACCAACAAGTTACAAACAAGTGGCTTTTTCCAAGTTGAAAATTTAATGAGAACGGAAAGTCGAAGAGAGGCAGTACAGTCTCTTAACACTCTAGGTCGTTCGACACCAGATGACATCTCAACCGTAAAAAATGATGGGAGAACTTGATCAGTTTGGGTTCACTTAAGATAACAATTAGCCACGAACAATTTTGTGGTAGTTGTCTTTAAGCTGCCCATTTCTATAAAGGAGCATAATTAGAATATTGAGAACACAGTCAAACAGAAAACATAATTCATACAGACTAAGTTGACAAGAGAAACCAGTAAATGCACGAGATTCAGCGTTTGTGACACTCAGCCATATCACAGTGTCTTTATT